TTGACAATTTTTACATTATTTACAATTATACTAAATTTGGTAATAATTGCTATCTCGTGTCAAAACTCCCCGTGACAATAGGCCGAATCGTTAATCAGCTGTCCGAGAACGAATGAAAACAATCATAAATCCAGAGCCAGGTATTAACTCTAGTCTTGATTCCAGTTCACCGTTTCGATTCGGAATTCGAATTAGGTAAGCTCTTTTGCTTTTTATTTTTTCTTCCTTTTTTTTAAACTTGTACTTACCATTGTCCGGTTCGCCGTTTCAATTCCAGAGACCTACAAAAAAAGAATTCAAATCAGTTTTTTCATTTTCACTTTTCTTTTTTTTTCTTTTTCATACTTATCGTTGTATTCAGAGTTTGCGTAATGTTGTTTTAGGACGTTCTCAAACGCCTCACTCAATGGATCTGAAAAATTTTAATTAATGGAATTTGAATAAAACCAACCAAGAGTTATCATTTTGATGAGTAAAATTTTGATCTTTTTTCCAGTTACTTTGATTGGCTCATTTGACCCATTGCATTGACGATTGGGGTGTTGCACATCATATCATTTACTATCATAGTGCAGCACTAACACTATATGTAATTTACACTATTATTTTCGCTCAGAAACTTTATTAAGAAGAAACATCATGGGAGTAGTGCTCTCCGCTGCAAATCACGTGAGTCACGTGACGAAAGTACAGGAATATCGAAAAGCAAATCGTGGTTGATAAAGGGGAAGTTATGCTATATACAACATGTATTCATTAATTTACAACATACATTCATAATTTACATTTCACAATTTTTCATTTCAGTTGATTATTGTTACTACTGTCCTCCTCTTCTTTTTTTTTAGGGTGCCTACGCGAGATGAAGCGGCCCTAAATACACTGCAAAAACATTTGATGATGCCTAAAGGTGGATGCTCACGAGAAGATGCAGTGATCCTTAGTCCCTATTACTATTCACTTTAATTGATGCTCACGCAAAGGTGCAGTGATCACAAAGGTGGATGCTCACGCGAAGATGCAGCGATCACAAGGGTGGATACTCACGCAAGGTGCAGCGATCCTTAGTTGTTTAGACTCACAAGCTATAGGCTTTTCACAGGAGTGAGGGTGGGTTAGATACTATACTGTAAAGCCAGATAATAATCAGGCAGTTGAAAGAAAGAAGCACTAAAGATTATCTTTCTGCCAATTTACTATAAAATACCTAATCTGGTTATACAAAATCAAAGACCATAAGTCATTCTCTTGATAATACTTGCATAACTATTATCAATGCAATGAGTCATTATTCTCACTTAGAAACTTTATTAAGAAGTGACATTATAGGAGACAAAGAGGATCCGTAGTGAGCTAAAGTTAAAAGTTACTTATTTTCATCAAAATTGCCTTTTCCTTTTTTTTTTTTTTTTTTTTTTTTTTTAGAACCTCATCTTCTTTGAGGTATTTGGTAGTATGGTCAAAAAAGACCTGAGATAAAGTGCTACTAAGATAACTATCTTCTAATACTCAAAATCTGAAGCAATAACAATCTTGTTTTTATTGTTTCTGTGCTGCTGTTAATATGCATACTATAGCCTGAATATTTACCTTCCAAATTTACATAGTAAGCTATTTTCTTAACTACTAAACTTACTATTTCTGTTGTTATATATTTTCCTAGTATATTTACAAACTAGTTCATAAATCCGAGTATTGCTTTGGAAGCTAATTTCTAATTTTTTTTCCTTATTTTAGATTTTAATTTTATTTAGCTCTCTGAGTGCTAATCTTTAATTTTTTTTAAAAAAAATTTTGATAATTTTTTAGATTTATTTAAACCTGAATTTGAATTTATTTGAACCTGAATTTAGGTTTATTTAAACTCAAAATCAGGTTTATTTAAATCTGAATTCAGGTTTTATTGATCTGAATTCAGATTTTCTTGAATTAAATTCAGATTTTTTTTAATTTGAATTTAGGTTTTGTAATTTGAAATTAGTATTTTTGAAATAATTTTATATAAATATTTTTTTTTAAATTAGATAAACAATTTTTTTTAAACTAAATAAATAGTTTTTTTAAATTAAATAAATAATTTTTTTTAAATAATTTATTTTATTTACTATTATATATCACAGGTCGAACTAATGCATATCGAGTATATATCAGGATATAAAATTTCTGATATATACCTGATATGTATTCCTAGATCTGCCAAATATCTGTAGTATATCAGAATTATAACAGATGAATATCAGTATATATCAGCATATAGATAAATATCAGTAATATATCAGATAAATATCAGGCAATCCTGATATCTTATTTTTATATTTAAAGTATAAAAGTAAGATATCAGAATTGTCTGATATTTATCTGATATATTACTGATATTTATCTATATGCTGATATATATCTGATATTTATCTGTTATGATCTCAATATACTACAGATATTTAGCAGATCTAGAGATACATATTAGATATATATCAGAAATTTTATATTCTGATATATATCTAATATATATTAATTTAATTTGTGTAGATAGTATTGTTTTTTGAACAAATTAGACTTAACAATTAGACTAATTAGATATATTCTAATTAGTCTAATTAGACATATTTTAATTGAAATTAGAATATATTTAATAAGTCTAATTTTTTAGTCTAATTAGTCAAAGGATAATACTAGAAATAAGCAAAGTAAGTAACATATTATTACTTATTATTTTTAATTATTTCTAATAATTTTTTACATAATAAATAATAATAAGATGCAAAATTTAATCTGAATAACAGATTATTGAGTTTAAAATTTTATTTATCAGATTATATTTGAAAATTATAATAAGTAATAATCATATATCATAAGCAATAATTAATAATAATCAAAAACACTCTCTCTTCAATGATTACCTAGACCATATATGAAGCAAAACTTTTATTTTTAAAAAATAATAACATAGTTAATATTTTTAAGAAATATATAGTAATCTCAATAGAGGAAACAATGTGAGGTATATCTGAACTAGTTTGGTGCTAGTTTTTGTATAGATACAAGCAGTATAAAGTATAGGACTTGGCTTTGGCAAAGAGTAACTATTGAGGTTTTCTGAAAAAATATATTATTTGTTTTTAAATAATAAAAGAAGAAAAGTTGAAGAAGAAGAAGAAGAAGTACCTACTACAGTACTTGAACTGGGTCAAGTACTTTACTTTCTTTTGCCACTATAGTATCTGCAACTACTACTTTCTCTCTTGATTTTTAGTCTTTTTTTTGTATAATTGTGAGGATTTGGCATACCTTGATATTGTTAACCATTTCCAAATTGGAATAGTTTGTTAATATACAATATTGTACAAAAAAACAATAACATATAGAAATACTAAATATGTGGAACAACCTGTTTGGATCTAATTACAGAATTAGTATTAACAATAAGATATACACTTTCACTGTTATATAGTGTAATATTTTTATTAATTTAGAAGAGATTCTTTTTTGTAAATTAGGTTTCTTTTCTTATTTGTTTCTTTTTTCTTT